CCCCAAAACCCCAAAACCCCAGTGTTCAATATATACCACAGAGAGGCAATTGACTTAAAAATATATTCGAAATATCAGATATTGATTCAAGAGCACATTCTATTTTTTTCTTTTTTTGGCTTTTCATCAAATTATATTTATCTGAGTTGCTTTCTTTTTCCAAATTCCCCATCTTCATTTTTGTCCTCATCCTCATCATCAAAACCTTTGGTTAAAGGTTACTTCTTCTTAGATGGCAAGAGAGTTTATCCAGTACTCAACAGTTCTTCTTCTATTTTCTTTTAAAACTGATAGACATATTTCTCCATCTTCTGGTTAGTTTGTTCTAAGATGCCTTCTATATAATTATTTTGTTTAAGCCTTAAATTGATGTTATCAAGAATCATTTCATATATCATGCTAAAGATATCATATCTAATATCATCCTTCTCAATTTTCTGCTGATTGAGCTCTTTCATTAATCTTTATAGCTCATTATTAGATTTAATCAAGATCTCTTTTGAACCCAAGTAGTCTAAGTTATCCTTGCTCATCATATCGAATGAGGTCTTTTAAACTAGTTGGAAATGAGAGTAAAGAGTTTCGAGAATTCTTTCTAAATCATCTTAGTTTTTCATTAAGTAAGCATTGACTAAAGTCCTTTTTCTTTCATTCAAAATTGAGGTGTATATTTTGAGATTCTCAGCCATTTCATCTATTGTTTACTTTGCTTTTTCTCCTTTTTAATGAAGTTCATATCTTTCCTTCTCTCTCATTACCAGTTTTTAATGAATTGCACTCTTCATAGCATTATTAGCTTTTTAAAGTTCTTTTTTATCTTATCTACCATCAGCATTTGCTCCTGCACTACTTTTTAATATCTCTCGCTCCTTACTTTCCAGCTCCATCAGTTACTTATTATAACTTTCTATCTCAGAGTTCAATATCTTTAGCTCCTTGTTAAAGTCCTTTTAATCCTAACTTGCATTTTGAGTCTCTGTCTCTATTTTCTTAATTAAAATAGCAAGATTTCTGATCACCTTATCGTTTGAGCATTTTTTCTTAATTTCCATTTCTTCATCTACAGTTTGGTCCTGAGAACCCCATTTAGCAATTTTCTTTTCTAGTTCCTTTACTTATATTCTTAGTTTGTAGTTTTCTGTCTTGGCTTTATCAAGTTCTTGCTATGTTTCACTAGCCACACTCTTAACTGGCCTTTTTGCCTCATACATAGTCACTCCATTTTAATTATTTACAATCACATTAACATTTGAACTCTTTTAGAAGTAGGATGGAAACTTCACTCTCTAAGGCAAGTTGGCAAAAGCCCATATTTATTCTTTATCATTAATTAGCAGACAGTTATGCTTGTTTTGTCCCCAAGCAAAAGTGTCGCCAAATTTATCAACTGCAAAACTCATATTGTCACCTGCATATATCTGAACAATGTTTCTGAGACTATCTACTTTAGTTGGGAATTCTTTATCAGATTTATCAGAGAGACCCAATTATCCATGATCATTTTTGCCCCACGAATAAACTCTACCTTTAACATCAAGAGCAAGCACATGAGTTCTGCCAGTAGCCAACTTTACAATTGGTGAATCAAAGTATTCAATCTCATCTATGTCTTTTTCATTGCCTTTTATGAATTCTCTACCAAGACAAAATGTGATTCCTCCCCAAGAAAAAACTCTACCATCTGTAGTGACAATGAAAGTATTCAAATGTGTGAAAGAAATCTATGCAATAAAACATTCTGCTGGAAATTCTTAAAACTTATAGATCATTTCATATTTCTGCTTAATTATTTTTTTAAGCTCTTCTTATTACTTCATTAAATCATTGTTATGAAGAACTTTCTCTGGTCCCCATTTTCCACTCTAAGCGTGTTACTCTTATTTAAGATATTAATTTCCAAAAGTATCATGAGATTGATAGTTATGAATATTGGCTGTTAATGCTTATCCTGGAGTAGGTGTTTGTAAGTTATTTGGTTGATTGTTTGTCTTTTAAGATAAAGCACTCTTTGCGACTGATGCAGGTCTGCTAGACTTATTTGATTAACTCATTTTTATAATTGATTTAATTTTAATAATTATTAAAGATTTAAAATTGATATTCATTATTGGGGTTTTGGGGTTTTGGGGTTTTGGGG